CAAAAAAAAAAACGGAAAAAAAAAAAACCAAGAAAAAAAGGAAAAAAAAAAAAAAAAAAAAAAAAAAAAAAAAAACACAGGACATGAGGATGAAGTAGTCAGCTAAGCACAGAGAAATGAGCGGTGGGAAACAGGAAAATGGGGAGACGGTTACTTGGATCCACCACACCCCTAAGGTTTGAAATCCCTAAGAGAAAGATCTGGACACATTTTAGAAAAGGTGAGGCATCTGTCTTCACTGATGATGGCCCGGCTGAACAGACAGAAGATGAAAATCTGTTTGGTCATCCAATTAGACATTAATTAAACCAAGCAGAATGTAGGGAGTCAGTATAGACAAAATGAGATTAATGAAGCATGCACACAGACGGAAGAGAGGAAAGATAGATAGATAGATAGATAGATAGATAGATAGATAGATAGATAGATAGATAGATAGATAGAGCAACATCTGCACAAAATTAGAGCCTGAGTACATTAACTAATTGAACATGAATCATTACCTTGCGCTTTGGCGTGTGAGGCCAGCAGGCTCCCTAATAGCAGAATCCACAGGTATGACATCATGGGAACGCGCTGTTCAGCCTTTACGGATAAATGGGGGCTCACTTTCCCTGCCTGTGTCCTTTACCAAGGTCAATTAGCCGACTCGGAGGGTTTCAGGTGGATTTAGAGGGCGTGTCTGTCCTGTCGGCGTGCCTGCTGTGCGTTCCTGCGTTTTCAAATGAGTCCCGCCGTGCTTCCCTTGGAAGGTGCTCCAGATGCTCTGGCTCAGTGCGCGCCGCCGCGGATCCGCCGCCGTCTTTTGTCTGGATTGGAGGAGAGAGGGTTAGGTCTTTATTGAAGTGGGCGGGTCTACCGAATACCGGCGGGCAAGGCTGTTGCTGTGGTAACACGAATTGATCCGTGATTTGATTTGTTTCGGCAGCATAAATGCCAATAGTGTGACTGATCAACAAGTATTTGTTTTTATTCCGGTTTTCCCCTCTGAAATCTGTTTTGTGACTCACCTTCTCGTCATTATAACCATGGGAACTAAGGACACACAGAAATATTTCCCGTACAACCTTTACTTGTACACTTTACTTGTCCATGTCACGCATAGCCTACACTGTAAACTTAGAGACACTCCTAACTAGAGGAAGGCTACACTTAACATGCAACATGCTTAAACACATAGCCAATATTTAATACATTGTGCAAATCACAAGGCATAACCTCCTCAGGCTCCTGTTTGTCCCACGTCTATCCTACTTTAACACCCATAAAGTAGGATAGACACGGGTTTGCTAGCACCAAGAGTCTCAGCAAATAGAAAATAACATTAGACCAATGAAGCTTTTATGAAAAATAAAAAAGCCCCACTTTAACATAAACTCGGGGTGTGTCTGTGCCTTAAATTTTTGGTTAAGGCATGTTTGATCCTCTCTCAGTAAAGCTACTTGCAGTGGAGTAGCCAGACATTTTACTCAAATAAGAGTAGTGGTTCTTATTTACGCAAGTAAAAGTAAATAGAACAAAATACAAGAATCCAAAAAATAAATAAATAAATAAAAAAAATAAAAAAATCCCTCCAAAACATTACAGTTGGATTGAGATATTTTTGTAATCAACCTACAAACATATTTAAAAGCTTGACTCCTACTACATACAAGTTTAGAATACAGCCATTGAATGTGGATCTGTGTTCTTGGTTTTGTTGCTGTAATAAAGAATATATCACAAAAAAGTGTACATTTCTCAATTTCACAGCTCATACATTTGCACTTCCATTGTAATATAATTGAAAAGTGAATTTAAGTTCATTTTTTGAAAAATGAAACACATTGTGGCTCTCGATTTACCGGTCGATCTACGTTCCCACCCTCATCTATGGTCATGAGCTTTGGGTCATGACTGAAAGAATGAGATCACGGATACAAGCGGCCGAAATGGGTTTCCTCCGCAGGGTGGCTGGGCTATACCTTAGAGATAGGGTGAGAAGCTCGGTCATCCGGGAGGGACTCGGAGTAGAGCCGCTGCTCCTCCACGTCGAGGGGAGCCAGTTGAGGTGGCTCGGGCATCTGGTCAGGATGCCTCCTGGACGCCTCCCTGGTGAGGTGTTCCGGGCACGTCCCACCGGGAGGAGGCCCCGAGGAAGACCCAGGACACACTGAGGGACGATGTCTCTCGGCTGGCCTGGGAACGCCTTGGGGTTCCCCCGGATGAGCTGGAAGAAGTGGCTGGGGAGAGGGAAGTCTGGGCCTCCTTATTTAGGCTGCTGCCCCAGCGACCCGATCCCGGATAAGCGGAAGAAGATGGATGGATGGATGGATGTGACAAATGAAAATGTTTATAACTGTTAAATTTGTCCAAATATCTTCAGAATCTTGGAATATCACATACAATCATGAATCTTGAAGACTGCTGACAAGGCATAAAAATCACTGCTTGTGACACGCTGTCTTCAGTATTTTCAAACTAAACATATTAACTGAACATGAATCATCTTCCCCAGCCAGAGTGAGAAAAAAATGTAGTAGAAAAAGGTTTACAATTGATGTTCACTCAAGAGCTTGGCAGAGACTCACAAAGAGTGGATTCGGTTTCAAGAGCCTCCAAACATAGATTTGTATTCAGGACACAAACTACAGCCTTGAGTGTGGAGAAAATGAGAGGATGGTTTCTCGTGTACCTAAGTTCTTTTTTAAGAATCAAACTCTTAAACTTTCTGGAAGGCAACAAAACCAATTGCTGGAGTGTAAAGCTTCCGCACACAATGATGATCTGATCTGGGAAGCAGAGTCACCTTCTGTTGGTCCACTGTGTTTAAAAGTCAGTGTAATGTGTAATGTGATCCATTTATACTTCCTTCCGATGACGAGCTAAATGGAGATGGAGATTTTGTTTTCCATCAGGACTTTAATTACTTTTAATCCCACAAAACTCTCAATGTTTTCCACTCATCAGGCTGTTCCTTAAGATTCCTTAAAACAATGGGTATAATAGTATGGCATATTTTAAGACCTTGGTAATGATATACAGAAAATAATTTCCATCATATTCAAATCTAAATACTAAAATTGCAATGGCCTTCATTATTATTTTTGATTCAACTATTTGGGTATTTCTTGTGACCCAAAGAGCCTGTATATTTTTAGAAAAAAAAAAAACAAGAAAAAACAAACATGTTTCTACGAATACCCAAAAAGATATATGAACTCAAGACTTCTGGTGCCTACATAATGCCTCTATTTTCACAGGCAGAACAAGTAGAACATCAAACATTTTACTCCACTTTTTTTAGATGCTTTCTGGCCTAATTTTGAAACGGAAGGTGGCGCCATTTAGCTGTTTTCTATTGGTTCCAACCTACTACAGTTTCTCTCCATGGCCTTACAGAACCAATTGCAAACATTTAGCACATTTAAAAAAAAAAAAAAGTTTTTAACTCATCATACAACATAATTGTGCAGTACATAAATTGAAAACAATGGCTTGTTACAATTTAGTACAAACAATTGTTTTGGTAAACGAGATTTTTATTTTTGTAATAGAGAGGATACTTAAACTTTTGGTTAAATTAGATGGAAAATAACTAGTATACAAAGAAAACTCTATCAATGCACCATCAGATATTCTGAATGTAAACAGGAACACACCCAGGTGATTTCCCTATTACCAGCAGGTGTGGAGGAAATACGTTTGTGGTTAGTCAAATGACATTCAAAAGACAACATATAAAGATATGTTGTCCAGTTAAAGTCGGATTTTAAACACAATAGGTCAAATAATAGATATTAAAGATATGTAAAACTAGCAGATTCATGTTACAAATGCTGAATATTGGGGAAAAATGAAACAAAATGAGTCAAAATTATGTTTTTAATTAGTTTTTAGTACAATAATTACATTTGACTCATTTACTATAAAACCAACATAATGCCTTAGCTTCAGAACATATTGGTAAACGGTACATCCTGAAAAAAAAAAAAAAAAGCAACAACAAAGATTTGCAGCAATTCTCAGCACAACATTCAGATGTCAGATCCATTTGGCACCAAATTTCACCTCTCAACTGTTGTGATGAAATAGTTACTTATATTAATTGGTTAATAAAATATAAAACAGTGAAGATGAAATTAATGAGTTACCATTTCTTTTGGTCACATCAGAGGAAAACAAATGGTGAGGCACATTGACGGTTGACGTGTTTTTCTTGGCCATTCTTTTTAAAACACCACTTGATTTGTTAAGGCAATAAAGCTCAACAGTACAGAAAAGGCAGAGTTTTGAACTCGCATATGTGCTGCTTTTCGCACAGGCTAACAAGGTATGACACTCAAGTACACACTCGGCATTGACTTTAGGTTGTACCTTTGGTCGAACATACTCTTTGCTCCTTTCTTTTAGAAAAACAAAGTCAATCAGTCTTATATTATCCACCAGCCAGCTGTACCTTAAAAGCACTTGGTCATCACAATATTGGTCAACTTTCAATTAGCAGTACCAGATATAACAAGTCTAGTATGGCATTAAAAGCCAGACTAAAAGGAATTTGGGGATGTAGTGGTTTTCTGAGTCTGTAGTGTGAGGCAGAAAGTGCTTCAAAATATATATGTGTCTTTGGCGAGTCACCAAACTCCTGGATATTACAAAAACTGTTGTTGAAATTTAAAGCAAAAAAAAAAAAGTCAAATGAGCACAAAATAAAAAAGACTTGAGCAGTGATGCAAGTATTCACCCCAAATTCATGCACTTAGTTTAATTAAATATTGAAGAGTTCTCCACAGAAGGCAACACTAATTTGAGTTACATATAACAGGAACCTTCTCATGATTAGACTTGAAGAAATCTGCTGTGAAATCCATTTATTTACAAAGAAACAAAATAACAAAAAGCACACTGATTTTAGAGTTTTGAACAGTTTGTACCAAACTTTCTTCTTGGTTGCGCTGAAGATGGGAGAATAAAGTCTTGATTGCCTGCTGACGTACAGTTAAGACACAGGCATTCATAAAAGATGATTCAATTCAATACTTGTCTTTAACTCCATGGGCTGTTTTCAAGTAAATAAATGAACGAGACAGGAGGAGTTGGGAGAAATAATATCAGTATCATTGAAAGCAAAAAGGAGGCAGTGTTTGTGGTCTCAGCCTGTCTCAGTGAGATGAAATGATGACCGGCCGAAGGGTGATTTCCTTCTTTTTTTGGTGCAGTGGTTGATTGGCCATCGAGAAGGCTCACATTTTATTGAAGCACTCTTTGGCGTTGGACCACACTTGTATTCCCTGAGAAAGCAGAGAGGTGGCAGAAAATGAGAATGTTTGAATTATGAAGAATGTTATACAGAAAAAAAAAAAAAAAAACTGAAATGAGAATGCCAAATCATCAAAACTTCTAAATACATAAAGATAATTTATTGGGGAAAATATGAGAAGTGTACCTTTTTACACATGCTGATCTGCATGATGGCATAGCTGATCAATGCTTCACGCAAGTCTTTTTCCTTCTGCTCATTAAACCGCTCAATGTCGTTCCATGCTTTCTCCACAAACTCTCTGACGACACAAACACAACCTATTATCAGTCTGTCTGTCAGGAAGAAACACAACCGAGGATAAGTGAGAAGAAGAGGAAACTAACAATGGATGATTTTGTATGCTCTTCAGTTATTCATGTGCTACTTCCTCTTTTTTTTGTATTCACGCAGGTGGCTTTTGTATATGAAACCGCTGACTAGACAGGCAGCTGTGCAACATCATAGAAATGCATTTTCGACTACAGGGCTGAAAGCAAGACTCAGCAGGGTTTGTTTGGCAGGGTCAAGCGTCTAAGCAGACACAGCGTGGCAGGTAACCGTGTCAACGGAAAGAAAAGACAGGAATTGTGGACTCAGTCCTTCACTAAGATGAAACTCAAATAATGACTCACAAGAGCTTAAAAGGTAGCAAAGTCTTTGTTTTTGTCTCACGCTGACTGCATGTCATCAATAATTTCTCCATTAAACATTGGCCATTAAATGTTGACTGAGAGATATGCACAATGAAAACCTTTGAATGCATAAAACACAAATCTAGATGTCTGCATATCTGAATAACTTGCAATGTCATGATAACCATTTTCTCAGCAATATACAGAAATGTGCATTGTCTTTCTGTTCTGGATTCAGAGTTAACATGGACCCTAAAAAGTGAGCTGCCTATGCAGAAAAATAAGTTAATTCAATTCCAAGAGCATGTTTTCATTCCAGTCAATAAAATTAATCAGAAGTGCTATCGCACCCCCCCCCCAAAAAAAAAAAAACTGACAATGAATAGAGAGACGGTGTGTTCCAGCTCGCCATGAAAATGAACGGAAATACCTACAGTCCAAGTTATGCAATCTCCCAATTGGTACATGCACTACTGTGACTGCATAATAAGCCCCAGGGTTTTTGGCAGGTTCTTGAATTTCTTTAGGTAAGAATATCATGTGTTACTTTATGAGCTCTTTCACTTTATCATATAGTAAGACGAGTTCTACTTAATCAGATGGTTGTTTTTAATTCTACAGGTCAGGCAATCAAGACAGGAATGAAAATGAACCCGAGAACGATTGCTTGATGATATGAATCATTTAAATTAGACTAAAAAAGTAAAAACAAATATAATCCGAAAAGGGACAAATACTCCTAAAGCCTTGGTATTACTCAGGTATTCACTTAAAAGGCTGTTTCATATTATGAACTGCAACTTTAAAAAGTTTAAGCATGAAGGAAGGCCTTACTGGGACTCTGCGTTCTTCTCCTTCAGAGCGTCCTCTCCCTCTTGGATACTCTGTTCCAGGGCTGCCACCTTGCTCTCCCTCTGCTCCTGAGTCTCTTGGCCAAATAATTTACTGGTCATTCCCTTCAGAGAAAAGATGCGCACCGTCTGCATGCACACACAAGAAAAGAAAGGACCGTGTAAAGTGAAAGCAGAGTCAACACATTGCTAGTTGCACAACTATTCCAAACTTTAGTTACAAAAATGAAATAAAATAATCAAATACATCACTGGTTAAAAAGTCTTACTGGTGCGTTTTGAATTGGACAGATGTTTTTATTTGGTTCAAATGAGTGAGAAAGAAGTTGTTGTCGTTGTTGTTACCCCAGTCTCCAGCTCTTCCTTCTGCTGCTTCTTGTAGGAGAGGTCCTGTGCTGCCATCTCCAGCTCGTACTGGATCAGCTCATGTTTTCTACAGACTGACCTAAAACACACACAATTTATTTTAAATGCAAAAAGTAAAGAAACTTGAAATTAATATTTGTTCCAGCCAATGGAATTCCTTAAAGTACCTAATGTAAACATAAGGATTAGAAAAAAAGGACATGTAATCTTAATGCAGCTCCATTAACAGACAGATGTTCTGACAGGATGGCAGCGTTGCAGATGTTCCAAACAGGAACACAGTAAAAGGCTCTTAGAGGACATGCATTATCGCTTACAATTTGTTGTGGCTTGGCAACTGTGCAACAGCAGCACCAGCTGCTCAACTGTGCCATAAGCTGCTACCCACATGTTTTTAATTCATCCTTAAAAACAAAATAAAGGCAAACGGAACTCTGCTGATACACGGGACACAATGTGAGAGTTAGGTAAACCAAACAGCCAACTGGGAGATGAGGAAAAACCGTCGAGCCAACTGAAAGGCAGAACGCCCACCGGTTCACAGTGTTTGCATTATGTCAAGCCTTCCAAGTGGTAACTGGGGTTTGATTTTCTATTATGTCTTACATAATCAACACGGCCTTGATACATGTACAAAAATAACTGTAGCACTCTTGAGTAATCATTAATTTTTAAGGATACTTTGAGGTCTTGTAGAATATCTGTTACACAGATAAACAGACTTGTGGACCGTTTGTATACTTTATTACACATATTTTAAAATATGAAGTAAGCATTTCAAAAAGCAGCATGTTTGCTGGGTTTTTTTTTTTACCGTTATAAAAATTACAACTCAAACTATGTGTGACAAATGCCAACTACTATTTGTTCTTCTGATTTTCCCTGTACTATGATTAATACTTTGCACATTCAAGTAGTTCTACATGGAAAACACAAACATTTCAGGAAAAAAAAAAAAAATCCAAACCATTTATTAAAAAACAGCAGCAAAAAAACAAACAAAAAAAAAAAAATAAGAAAAAACAGTAGTACTGATTTTTAAAGCTCTTTGACAGGCAGGTGACTCTGAAGCAAAATGGAGGATAACATTTTACGGCTGCTGATTATAGGAGTTTCAATCTTTTACAGTAATTTACCTGACAGCTTCCGTGTAGAAGAGGTATTCCTTCAGCTGGTCTGCATAGTGCTCTTCTTCTTCAAGAATGTCATCTATTGATGCAGCATACCTAGACACAAATAGAGGCATTTGTGTAGAGATAAGCTAAAACAAGATATGCTGTATCAGTGTGTGTGCACACAGTGCTAATCTGTAACTTTGATAAAATAATCAAGTTTTACCAGAAAGGTAAAAGTTAGAAAGTCTCAGGCTGCTACTCACGTATCCATGTGATGGCCAGCACTCTGCAATCCGTCTCCCATTTCTTTTTCTATAGCACTCCACTCACTGAAAAACAAAGTTTTGAGCACTGATTTACCCCAACAGTTCTCTTTATTTTGTTAAAGCAATATGAGTTTTAAATAATTATTTTTTCTCTATATTCTCATATATTGCTCTGCAACTACATGCTTGGATTAGTAATTACCTTTAAAATGTTTAAAATAGCACTTAAAGCATCACATTTCTGACAAATGTAATTTTTAATAAGAATGTAAAATATTTACAACATCAAAACCTTTTAATGTAATTGTTCAATTTAGAAAAAAATGCTATAGATAATAGTTTCTTACCTGAAAACTCTGCCATAGTTAGCATGAACTTTATAAACCCCATAGAGTCTGTCTGCAACTCGCTGGAATAACAAACAGCAACATGATTTTTTTTGTTTGTTTGTTTGTTTTATTTACCTTAGGTGTACTATTAATTTCAGGATTTAAAATTGCATTCCAATTAATGTCAGAATATTCACTAAAAATGTCACATGGTGCCTAATTAATGAGTACTGCTCCAAAAGCTAGAAGGCTAACAGCAAATTACATACAGGAATTAAAAGACTGAATGCCAGTTTATGTTAAAAATTATTCACAGACATATTACAAGCATAGATCTATAAAAACAAAATATCAGCTAGGCATGTATATTTGATTATCTGTGTGTATTTGATTATCTACAGCGTTTCCAAACTTACCGCTCTTATCCTGAGTAACTGAGAGATGACGGTGCTCAGATCCTCACTGTAGTGTTTCAGAGCTGTGAATCGCCTAAAAACATGACAAGTCATCATTTGTTTTGCAGTTTATGCTAAACTTTGGTTTAATGATGCAAATATCAAGTAAATGTGTGATGAATCACTTTTTAAAACCACTCTTTATCTTGCAACCGATTTGGCTGCAGTCCTCATGGATTTTGTTTAAAATAAAAGTGTAAGCTTCAGCTCCAGAAAACTCACTGTGATTTGCTGGAGTTCAAATTCTTTTAGTAAGAAACAACAATTTCTAGGCTGACAGGTGTCTCTTTCTTTTCTTTTCTTTTCTTGAATTTCTTTAGACAGAGGTGTGATGTGTTGCTTTGTGATCTGGTTTAGCCTATTTTATGTTGTAAGATAGTTTCCATTTCAGTTAATTAAAAAACAGCTTTCCACCTACTTGTCAGGATTCTTGACTCTGAACATGGCACTTAATGACTTTAATCTGGAGTCCGCCTTTTGGAAAAGAAGAATTTTTTTTTTTTCTGTTTATATATGACAAATAGAAAATCTACAGATTTGATGAGATTTAATATCATAAGACAAAACAACTACTAACACTAAGCAAATACATTCAATCACAGTAACTTGACCCAACCTTGTCTTGGAAACCTGTCTCCAGGACTGCTTCTCGCCATCCCTTCTCCTAAGGACATTCAGAGAACACAAGGCAGACAGAGATAAGAGTCGGAGGTCGACACCATCACTTCAAAAAATTAAAATTGAAAGTGAAAAACAAAAGGTCAAAACTGTGACCTTTTAAGTCAGAGTATACATACTGCTGTACCTGTGTATCATTTATCCTTTCAAAATAATACAACATAAAATTAACAGAAGAGTTACATGAAAACTGCTAAATGGAAACCTTATACTGAGTCTGACATAGCTCAGTGGCAAATGATCTTCAGCTAAAATTCAGTTTTGTTTTTTTTTTCACAATTGACCCGAGTCACAAAGCAACATTTGTATCACTTTTCTACCTCAGGTTTTAGATCTGCTAAAAAAATGTTCAAGACGTTAAGCAACAGTGGACTAAAAAAGGGTCATAATGAGTTGTCTATTTGGTTACAAACCTCTGTGAGAAAGAGGAAGAAAATGTTATCGTTTGACAGGACAGGATGTGATGCAAGACGCAGCAGGAAGTTTTCCAGACCAACCCTCCGTCGCTCTACAAAATCTGGGTCGAGGTTATCTGCTGAAAGCTTGTGCCACACAAACTCTGCCTGCAAGAGACGCGGTCAAATCAACACATCAAAAGTAGTAAAGGTAAAAACACAGATCCAACGATTTCCATACTATGAAACTAGTTTAATTAGTAGTACATAGTTCTACCATCACTTCAATCTCACTCACCCTTTTCTCTGGCAGTGGAGGGACGATGATGTAGGGATATGTGACCAGGAGATATGTTCTGAGAAGTTCAAACTCACTGTAGCGTCGCCACAACGTGTCAGGTGCAGCTGGTGTACCTTCTTCTGAGACGGATTCAGCCGGCCTTCAGGCAGGAAAACAAATGGGATTAAACAGCAGAAAAGGAAAAAAAAAAGAAAAAGAGATATGTCACCCTAATGTTTTAAGTGCATGTATAACATGTATGAAAAAGCATACATGCTTTACTGATCCTGCAGTTATCAAAAAATAACTACAGTATTTATAAGTCTGATGTTTTTGATGGTATTCAAATTTGATGGATGATTTTCATGCAAGTGTGATAAAAAGGTAAAAGCAGAAGAAATCTGTTGAGTGGGTTAATGGTTTTCTACTGCATTGCAAAAATTTGTTACTGTGAGTGCATTATGCCAATAAATGTGGTATGAGTCAACCTGTTGTGTTTATCCACACCCCCGTTTTGAACCTGTTTGACTGAAATGCTTCTGGTACATTGGTTAACTGAAGAAAGCACGAGCAGATATGATCAGATATGCATCAGTTCATAACCTACCGTGTTTCTATGAGGTAGACAGTGTAAGTTTCTTGCATGTTGACCGTGTTCTTTCCTGTCCTCTTATCTGCCTCTGCCACGCTTATCTCCATTTTCTTCAGCAGAGCCGTGCCTCTCTCCACCATCTAAAACCGGAAATATGAACCAGAAACATGAGCAAGAGCAGCAGAGTTACGGCAATGCAAGTTCAGGTGAGCAAAAAGCTCTGAGTGTTTTGAGCAAAACACAGTACAAATATATACAACAGTCAAATAAGTAGGGAAAAAAAATAGACCTTGTCATTTAGTTTATGATATGCAAAAAAAAAAAAAAAAAAAACCCGCGGAGCACATGAGTCACCTGGATGAATATAAATCTCATTCAAAGTAAACAAAACTTCCTGTTTCGGCTGCTAACGGGCAAGCTAACACCAAGAGCAAAGTTTAAAAAGTTATTGAACTCTCTGAGCACACGCACTTGGAGCGTATTTTTCTAACATTTATAAATGTTGAAATTATCGCTGAATCAAACCTTCCATAAAACCGTGAATTCTTCTTTGAAAACCCAATGGAAAAGTATGCGCTGCTAAGCATAATTCGGCTAGTTTAGGCCATATGGGGAGTGTTTTCTCTCGGGATAACTTGAAGTTGCTTGAAAAAAAAAAAAACTTCGCTAATTTAAAAAGAATAAAATAAAAATACAACCGTGTTTATTAAGTTGTTTTCCGACTCCGTTGAAGTGATGTCGGTGTTGCAAATCACTGCTACCTCGTCGCTACTTCCAGAGTCTGCCATGATCATCTGACTCCTGCTGTTATTGCTGCTGCTGTCAGCTGAGCTGGCAATGCGCATGCGCACTACAGAAAAAAGCCCTGGAAGTTCCAAACTGGGCTTAACATAATGAATAAAATTATAAGAAATACAGAGCATACGAATAAAGAAGTCACTCATAATTTGGAATCAAATAAAGAAGAAAAATGGTTCAGTTATCATGTATTCATTTACTCGAGCAATGTAAAGCACGTCTTTTTTTTTTTTTTTTAATAAAAAAAATTGTAAGAATTTGAAACACTACATAGTCCATACCAGGACAATAATAGCACAACAAAATAAGAGTACAATTTCTTTTCCATTTTTCAGTTGACAGAGTTTTGAGTAAATGTAACACCACAATAGAGAATAATATTATTGACAATAACAAAATAATTCTACACTCCTACAATACTGATTTTATCATAAGTTTATATGACTTTCTTAATGTTTTAATTGTTCTGCATGATTAATGTTTTCACCCTGAAGCCTTGTCTTTGGCAAGACTGACATCTACTGGTGTTACATTAACGTAGTGATTTGTTTTTCCCTTGGTTCAGTTATGCACTGTTTGGATTCTCATTTTGACCATAAAAGCATACCAACTTTTGAAAATGTATAACATGAATAAATAAATAAATAAATAAATAAATAAATAAATAGAGAGAGAAAAAGAGAGGGAGAGAAAAAAGGAAAGAAAGAAATAATGAAAAGAAGAAAACAAAACCATTTGATCTATGATCGATTGTCAAATATAAACCACAAACCTAGATGTATTTTCATTGGTACTGTGTGACATACATGAAAATTAATTTGCTCATAAGTTTGAAGTGGAAGTAAATTAATACCCAGTTTCCAGATTCTTTTAACACATACAAAACCATGGCATTCTTTCAGCCTCCTGAGTCAATACTGAGTGGATCCAAGTTTCACTGCAGTTGCAGCTGCAAGACCTTTACCAGTTTTGTCCATCTTGACAAATTTACTGAGAATGTTTTCACATTTTTGAGAATAGCTTATACCCAGTCAAATATCAGATGAAGTGTATCTGGAAGCATCAAAATAAAATTATATTTTCACATTGCATGAGTCTGCAATTGGGCCATTCTAAAATTAATAACTATTTTTTATATCACCCCAATAACTCCAGTTGCATGTGACTGCATATTGTCATGCTGATAGATCTTATAAATCTACCAGGTCTTAAATTATTCTGCACTCTGTCCATCTTCCCATTAATTCTGATTAGTTCTTACATGCCTGCTTGAGAAAATCATTTCATCAGCATGATGCAACCACCACCATGATTCATTGTGGGGATGCAGGGTGATGATCTGTGTTAGCTTTTCTCCAAACATGTAAGTTTATTTATAGTCTAGAAAGTTATATTTTGGTTTCATCTGATCAGATGAAACCAAAACCATACAGAAAAAACCATGTATTTTCTGTATTACCTGCATCACTTATGGAAAACTTTAAACAAGATTTTATATGGCTGACTTTACATAATGGCTTTTATTTGACCTCTTGAACGTAAAGGTTATGAATATAAAGCACACATATAATAGAGGTGCAGACATCTTCTCCAGAATTACCATAGGTTTCAGTGTCAGTCCAGTCTGCTCAGATGGCCATGTCTTAATAGATTTGCAGCTTACTCGTTCTATTATCTGATGGTGGGTGGAACAGTGCATTGTGAAATGTGCAAAGCTAAAGAAACAATTATGCTTCCTAACCTTACTTTAAAATTCAGAATAACTATTTCTAACTTGTCTCATGCGTTCCGTGGACTTCCTGTTGCTGCTTATTCACTAATTATGTCTAATAAACCTCAGAAGCCTTCACAAAAAATCAGTACTGATCCTGACATCAAGCTACACACAGGGTTTGATGAGAATAAAGGTTACTGAATAAAAATCTGAAGTGAGCACCACACTTTTTAGATAATTTTAAATAAAACTGAATGCAAAATCAACCTTTAACAATGTGGTCGTAATATTACAAACAAAAAAAAAAGTATAGGTTGAGATACTTTATCATCAAATTTGTGTGTTGGCTTTTTTGTAGAGCTCACCTTTTATTTTAGATTGTTAGAGAAAACAGTATAAAACTTTCCTTTGGCTCAAGAAAATAAGGCGACTAAGGCCCAAAACAGTGTCAGAAGCACCATGGCTCAGGTTAGGTTGCCTTTAGAGCAACATTGTAAGTCTTCTGCAAAAATAAAAAATAAAAAGACATTCTGAGGATTTTTAGTGAATCTTTATAGACCCACATCTTTTTGAGTGGAATGTGGGATAACTCAGGCTAGCAAACAGAACCGGGATACGACACTTGAGTTCCTGTGGTCACAATGTTGTGCAGTGTTTAATGTTTAAAGAGAAGGGTGGGGCAGCATTTAGTGAGGAAACATTTTGTATAATTCCACTGAAAGAAGCTGAGTGTTGGGATGTGACACGGATGAAAAGGAGAACGAGGTGAAGTGAAACTGCTCAAAAAGGGGAGAAAAAGTGCCACACTGAATTGCTGTAAAAGGATCAGTAGTGCACACTCACCAGGTATGGAGGGGTTGAGGGGGTAATGGTGGGATGTGGTTTGGGGCTGCAGCGTGTCCGGAAACCCAAAGCTTGTGCTGTGACCAGCCGTTGTCTCAGCAGCAGCATAGTTCCCATTCTTTCCTACCACTGACCTCAAACCAGTCACCACAACTTCCTGTCCGGACACATGGGCATTCACACATATTGACACACACACATCAAGACCAATTTGACTTACTATAATTGGCTACTTGACAACTTTTTACAACTGTCTGACCAACAGAAGCAATAATAGCAATTTATATTGCACTGTGTGTGCATGTGTGTGTGTGTGTGTGTGAGAGAGAGAGACAGAGAAAGGAAGGGAGGGAGGAAGAAAACAAGACAGAGAGTCAGACAGAGAGAGAGAGACAAAGTTAGAGAAAGAGAGTTTTCACATAATATTTTTGTGTATTTCCTTGATTACTGCATATTTATTTAAAATTACACAATGTTTTCACTGTGATTTAAAAGCCAAGTGTGTCACAGCACTGACGAATGGAGCTATTGAAAATATCAGTTGGTTCAAAACAGGAATAACTACTTTTCATATGTTAACCCACTTTTATAAATATTGGCAACAGATAGATTTTTAGCTAAAATATATATTCTTATTATTTAATTGTCAAATATGCATCAGAACCAATGAACTTGTTTAATGTCATGATTATCTTCCAGTTGGTTTGACCAGTTCAACAGCAGAGGGAAGCAAAAAACCACATGAAGCAACCTGTTGCACATTAGAGAAAAATATAAGTGAACAGTAAAATGAGTAAGAATTTTGTTTTCTCTGCCATTCATTCATTTGCCATATCTGCCCAGTGCTTTGGGCGGGCTGTCTTCAACAATCAGCGTGTAAGGGGCAGTGCGTAATGGACAAGAACCAGGCTGGTGGTGATATTGACATGTGCCATCGTTTAAAAATTAAGGTTTCGAAAACTACCAAAAATCTTTCAAAATAATACTAGTTGATCGTTTTAATTAGATTCCCTGAAAAGGAGTAGGTAAAAGAGTTTTCTTCTACTGACCCCTTACATTGAAGTGCACATGGCTGGACAGCTGGCTGAAAGAAGACTCCTCAACTTTTCAGTATCTTACAAAGGAAACACATCCATTTGTTTGGAAATATTTCTGGTTGTAAAATGCATGGAGAATCATGGTGTGGAAGCTAAACCTCGTTCATTATATCTTTCTATGCATCATTATCTAAATAAATACAATTAAATAACTTTAATACATTTTCAGTAAACAATATGTAGTATTGTTAGGAACTCTGTCTGTGAATATATTAATTTTATCATATTACAATAAATTGTCGTGTGACAGTTTTGGGTCAGATAGCTGTTGGTCATGTTTCAGCTGGGTATTAGATGCATTCTTTTCAACCTCAGTCCAGTGGGGAGAAATCTGGATTTAGAAATGTTGGGAGCCTGATGGAACACTCTGAGCCAAAAAAGAAACATTTACAGCTTCTAAAATACGCAAAGGGAAGCATTTTACAGTTTGATGGTAATTGTTAATCAACAACATATGCTTTTCTCTCAATCAATCTAAAAATGATAAAACCAATATTTTATTGAGCTCTTTCGGGTGTTCTTTGCTAATTAACATTGCGTCTACTTATAAATATTTAATTTCAATTTGCAGTAAAAGTGCTTGGTAAGCTGTGAATGCCACATCAGCTTTTTAGACCATTTCAACAGCACTTTATATCCAATGAAAGATAAAGAGTTGATAGCTTGTCATTTGCTGGGATGAGAATTAACATCCCAGCAAATGACAAGCATGCTAAAATAAACTTCCGAGGCTTAGATATGTATTGGTCTATAAAAATATCACAGAACATAAATGCACAAAGTGCAACATTTTTACTTGCTCGTACAACAAAATCAACGCCAAGTTCTTCAGTAAAATACTCAGAATCAATACCAGGAAGTGTATAACACTTAAATATTTTTCATTTGTTAAGAGCAAAAAAACATTCATTTGTTTGGAGCAAAAAACCTTGGATCAAAGCATCTCTGAAGTCAAGGAGGTCATAGCCTTGATCCATTAAGTCATCTTCTTCAGCCCATTGTTGTGCAGGACTTAATAAAAAAAAGTGGCATGATGCTAATGACAGAAAATTTGCAATGTAAAAACCAGTCTGAGTTTACTTCAGTAATTTCCTTTGTAAATCCTTGATAAACTGCAATAGTTTTATTCACGTTTTAGTAAAAAATTTTTGTAGCGTTAGACAAATTGAGTATGTTCCAATCTACATCTACATCTACAGCACAAAGATAATTTGCTAAATTACTGAGCATATTTCAAATGACTAATTTGAAGTCTGTCATATTTCAGCCATGTAGCAACATCATTAAATTAGGATTTGAAAGCCTCACACTTGTTTAACTTTGTGTACAGCTTGCGGCCAGTCAACACTGCTGTGAAAAATTACTTAAAGAGCTATTTAATTTCATATTTGAATTTGCCGTCCGTCATCAGCTTGTTGACAAACTCAGTGGTGCAATTTTCATTGAATCCTTCCCTGGCACAGTCAAGCTTACACACACATGTGCGCACACATTTACTGTAAATAGG